TACTGCATTAGTCTGAAAGGAGCCTGCCAGTATAGCACAGCTGGTTTTAGTAACCCTTTAGCTCTGACAGAGTTGTTTGTGGTGGTAGGAGCTGGAGGAAAAGGTCTGGAGCCATCTGAAGGCTCAGCAGGTGTGTAGAAGGCAGAGGAGCCTGTGAGAAGGAGCTGTGCTGGGAAGTGTGGAGCTGAGTGCTGGATTTCAGGCTGGAGCATCCCAGGTGACTTGGGCAGAGGTGCTGAAGTGGTGTAAAAATGCAGGGAATGCAGTCAGTGAACCTACAGAGCAGGTGAAAAACCTGCTGTCCACTGCCAGCCACATCCCTCCTGCTGCAGGGTTTGTGATTTGGGGGGAAGCTGTGGGAGGTGAGGCTTGGCCAGGCAGAGCTCTGGGGGAGAATGGAACACTGCACTTCCACTGTTTGCCTTGACTCAATAATAACAACTTTTCGTACTTCAAGCAGAGATTTGTGTTGTTGTTGGAGATCCAAAGCTGCCCTGGAGGGTGTTGACACAAAGCCCTGATGGTGTCCAGGTCCTGGCCATTTGGGAAGTGTTGGGCAGTTAAGTGACCAGGGAATGAGCTGAGAGCCCCAGTCCCCTAAGGCACTAACACACAGGTTTGGCATGGCAGTGGTGCCAGGCTGCTTTCCTGGGCTGCTCCCATGCCTGTGTGTGTTGTGGAGTGAAGCTTTTGGTGAGTAGAACTCTTATCTATCTCCTGAACCAGCGTCACGAACGGATAATTCGAGAATTACTCGAGCATGGAGGGAAATTTATTGACTCAGCCAATGTGTGTTTTAAACAGGCATTTTTACATACATGTGAGGGGATTTGAGATGATACTTTGATTGTTCTTGTGCCTTGGTTGTGCTCTGTGTGACAGTAAATAGGCACTGAAGTTGGTCCACGGACATGTGGGAATTGGGGCATTTGAACCCTGTCTTGGTCAGTGCCAGGTCCTCCAGCAATGATCTTCACCACAGAAACACCTGTGTCCTGAGCTCTAACAAAAAATCCCACATCTTCAATCAGATTTAACAGAGCACAGAGCCAGTCCTTGTGTTTGGTGCAGTTGTAGAAACCCCTGTCTGCCTGTGACAGCTTCTCAGTACTGAGTTAATTGTTGACCTGGTTCCTGGGGAAGGGGGCTGTGGATGAACTCTGTATGTTTAGTTCAGCTGAGTCAGCCCTAAATGAGCCTCAGTTTCTCCTCCTTTGTGCAGTGTGTGGGGGTGTGAGGTGGTGACTACCAAAGGCTTTTACAGAGCCAATTAAAATGAAGTCAGAATGCCCCTTCACCTCGAGGTGTGTGTGCCAGCTGCTGCTCTGATTGTTGGGTTTCTCCTGTCCTCAAACAATCCCAGCCCTGCCGCTGTCTGTCACAGCTCCAAGGAAATTCCATGTCTTCCCTTTCTCCTTTCCAGACAGACAGGTCCATAAAATGCACATCCTCTGAGGAGCAAGGCACAAGGATTTTAGGAAAGAGCTGTGCACCAGCCAGAGTTGGTTGTGTTTTCATCCCACAGAGGGGAGGTTTGCAGAGAGCTCCTTCACACACTCCATGTTCTCACCCAAGGGACTCGAAAGACAGTTCCAGATTTACTTTAATTTTTATTGTAGTTCAGCAGCACAGATGAAAATAACTCTTTCCAGAAAATTTCCATGAATTTTATGAGCTCCCAACTTGCTTTTACAGAATCCCAGGATCCCCGAGGCTGGAAAAGCCCTCCCAGCCCATGGATCCCCCTGTGCCCCATCCCCACCTTGTCCCCCAGCCCAGAGCACTGAGTGCCACGGCCAGGCCTGCCTTGGACACCTGCAGGGCTGGGCACTCCAAACCTCCCTGGGCAGCCCCTGCCAAGGCCTGACCACCCTTTCCAGCAACAAATTCCTCCTCCTGGCCAACCTGAGCCTCCCCTGGCACAGCTGGAGGCTGTTCCCTCTCCTCCTGTCCCTTGTTTAATTCTCTTGGTGAAGAAGATGCCACTGAACAGGAAAATGCTTCTCTGCAGATTTTTTTGAGGCCAGAATAGTTCTTAGAAAAGAACTCGTTGGATATCTAGTGTGTACAGGTGATGTTACACTTGGAATTTGTATTTCTTTAGGAAGGCCCATCTCGTGTGGATTTATGTAGCCGCAGGATTTTTGCCGCGTTGCCCGTTTCTTCATCAAATAGACTATTTGTTATGGAAAACCACTTTGCAGTATTGGCAGCACTTACTCTCCAGCAGGTTGTCCCAGATGCAGAGGACATCAGTGTGCTGTGCTGTATCTTTACCAGTGCTCTCTCTCTCCCCAGTGTGTGGACATAACCACGGCCATGAACGACCGGGCGGTGGCCCAGAAAAGGCTCAATGAGAACTCCTTTGACCTGGAGGCCATGTGCATGTTGAACCGTGCACAGGAGCAGGTATGGCAGGGGCTGCCAGCAGCACCTGGGGCAACTGGGAGAAAATCTGGGCTTCCCTTCCATGCCAGCTGGCTGGTCTGGCCTCTTTAAGCAAACGTGTTTGGAAAGCAGTTGATGGGCTTGTGAAGTCCTGCCTTGGTTCGTGCTTCCCGACACCAAATTTTGGGATAAGGAACTCGTGAAACCGTGCACTTCCTAGCACTGAATTTTGATAAGGAGACCATGAACTCACTAGACTTGGAGCTCAGGCTTCAGGGTGACCGCTCAGGTGCTCAGCTTTCGGGAGCACCTGCTCACAACTGTCAATGAACACGCTGAATGTAAATGAGGGATCAGCATGAAAAGCGCTGAGAAACAACGGAGAGTCACAGAGGAGAAGGTGCAGATGTTTATTGTGGTCTCTCCTGTGCTTTTTCCTTTGCAGATTGATGCCTGGGCCCAGTCCAACTCCATCCCTGGCCAGTTCACGGGCAGCACTGGGGCACAGATCCTGTCCTCGGACGA